GGATGGACTGATGGACGGATGGATGGATGGATGGGTAGAAGGGTGGATGGATGGACTGATGGACGGATGGATGGATGGATGGGTAGAAGGGTGGATGGATGGACTGATGGATGGATGGATGGGTAGAAGGGTGGATGGATGGATGGATGGATGGATGGATGGATGGATGGATGGATGGACAGGTGAATGGGTGGGGGTGTGGTCGGTGGATGAATGATGGTTAGGTAGATAAAATTAAATTCAAGATTATTAAGGAACTGGTGTTAGCACTGTGCTTCAGATCCTTTCTGACCTAAGACAGGTACCTCAGGAATACTGTATATTGACTCTCAGTTTTCACTTCAGAATGAGCACTGAGAATAGGGGAAAAATAATACTATGACTACACTAATAAGTCACATAATTTAAAACATTTTGAGAAAGCATTTCCAAAAAATTTAAGTGAGTTTTTAAAAATAAGATCTTTAAAATTTCTTTATGGCATTTATTGGTAACAAAACAAATTGAAGTCCAGTGAAAGGAATGTCTGACCCTATATGGTTTCAACTTCATCATGATAAAATAGGTGTTTTTCAGAAGATCTAATGAATGGTTCATCCAAGGATATTATAAATTATAAACTTACTTGTTGATATCCTTTGAATATGCAAAGACGCTTGTCCTTTTTTTGCTGTTGGTACAGAATTAATCCATGTCCAATGTGAGCCTATCTCTGGATAGATAGGTTCAACTGCTATGCTAACAATATTGTTTGAAGAAAACATGATTCTACTTCTCATGATAATAACGTTGTCTCATTTTCCTGTCTCTCATAGATTTGGACACTAACTTCCCAACAATCTGGATATTAGCTCTTTTGAGTATTGGATGTCCATTCACTGCAAAACAAGAAAACAAGACATATAATCACATTAACACATTTTCAATTAATATGACAGAATGTATAATGCTTTTAAAATCATAAAACATTACAGGAAATAAATTACGGTTGTGTTAAAACATACAAAAGATTTGACTTGGGTACATTTCCCTCAGGTGTATTGCCGTACATTATATATTGTGCCAAAAGACTCAGCAAGAGCTGCTATTGGGCCAGAGTTGAGAGAAGGAATGGCAGAACCTGGAGTCCACCAAACTATAGAGTCCTTCAGATAAGTTAGATGCAACCTATGTGTGACCTGAAGAACAACAGTATTGAAATGTTTTGCATTACAATATAATCAAATTCTGATATTGATAATCAAATCAATATAAACTATGATTTGTATACATTGCTTGTACTTAATCCATCATTATGTATCAAATGGCTTTCCAAATAAGAAATAAAAGCCATAGATTTACTGTGGCCACCATTACACAAAGCTCTAATTTACAAATAAGGTACTATATTTTTGCCTTTAGGACCTGTTATTGTTATTAAACAAAAACACAGCCAATTGCCAAAAAACAAAGTTATGAGAAGAACAGTCCATATTACTAAAAGGAAAGAATGACTTGATGGGTTGTAAAAGACACAGGGCATTTTTGCTGTTTTTATGTTTTATTGTCATTCGACAAGGAGCAAGGCTTATAACAACAAAACTAAATTAGACTATATTCAGAGTACTTACAATATAATTAGCATTAGTAATTACCATTGCAAGTGTATCTTAGGGAAAGGCAACCACCAACGGGTGTTCTAATCTAGTAGTTATGGAAAAATAGGGGTAGTTCTGAAGATGAGAGCTTAGGAGAAAATGATTTCTTACTGTCATTTTTTTTTATGATAATATGTCATACCAACCATACATTTCATCAGACAGAAAACAGTTGAAATACAGGAGGTAAAATAGAAGGAAAAGTGAATATAATAGTCTAAACTCTTGTTTTTACATTTGTGAGTGAATCCAGATTTAATACTCAATCTTTGTTTCCTTGCTTTTGAAATGGGGATAGTACCTTTCTTGTTTGGTTGTTTAAAGGATCCAAAAACATGTATCAAAAGATATATGTGTAAAAATAATGTATTAATACTGAATCATCAATTGTTAACAAAAATACCACACTAATGCAAGGTGTTTTACATAGGAAATGGGAGGAGGGGATGCAGGAGAAGGCATACACGGGAATACTTGCACTTTCCATGGTGTTTCTACAGACCTAAACTCTTCAAAACAAACAAAAAAATGGAGTATATATTAGTTTAAAAAATGTGTCTGATAATTCATAAGTATTCAAAATATAGGTGTAGTATTATTAATGATTTACACTGTGATGTTATTAGATATGGCTTTATAAAGAAATCTCACTAACAATTATATGAGATAATAGAAAATGTATTTATTGGTCTCTGCCCCTGGTTCCCAGCACTGAGTTCCTAAAACCCTTGTAATTTCCCAAGTGATAAGAGCACTAGGAATATCTCTTGTTCTAAGACTTGGTCTTTGACTCCATCCCTGACACAAACGCTCGTGACTCTCTCAGTGGTAAAGGCACTAAGAGCATCTTTGGTTTTAATGAGGCAAGTCTGGATAGGTTCCTGGATGTCTCTTGGATATCTCCTCGATGGGGGCTGGTTGCCAGAAAAACCAAGTCATAACTAGAAGCTTGGTATTTTTCAACCCCACCTCCACATATACATGTTACTCTGGAGAGGGGAAGGGCATATAAATGGAGTTAATAACTGATCATGCCTAGTGGCAGGAGCCATCCTTGAAATCTCCGTAGTATGGAGTTCACAGAGTTTCCAGATAGAAGAATACATCCACCTTCCTGGAGGATGATGCACCCCGACTCCCCAAGGACAGGAAACCCCTGGGTTCTGGAACTTCCCAGACCTTGCCCTATGTATCTCTTCATCTAGCTGGTCATCTGTGTCCCTTACCATATCTTCAGTAAGCTGATAAGTGTTAAGTAAGTGTTTCCTTGAGTTTTGTGAGCCAGTCTAGCAAATTAAACCAAAGAGGTGATCTGATTTCTGATCAACCTCTGATTTCTAGTCAAATTGGACAGGATAACCTGATGACCTATTACTAACCTACTTGTGATTGGCATCTGGACTGCTGGGGCCAGTCTTGCAGGACTGAGCCCTTAACCTGTGGAATCTGATGCTATATCCGGTGGATAATGTCAGAATTGAGTTATAATTGTAGGATACCCAGCTGGTGTCCAAGAATTGATTGTTGATATGGAGAAAAAAGCAAACTCACGCATTGAAATTAGTGACCAGGATCTTAGTTGGTGATCAGAAGTGGAATTGGGAGCAAAATCTTAAATTGTATGAAATCTATTATTTCATAAAAATTTCAATTAAATCAAGGATCACTTAATTTTAGGAAGGATAAAAATGTAAATATACATGATATATTTTTTAATCTTTCAAAGTAAATAATTCTTGACCTTCATTTTTGTCAGATGGCAGAACAGATTCAGAAAACAATCTTTTTGATTAAAGCAAATCAAATCCTGGATGAAATATTAAGTGTATTTTAACTGCATGGCTAAGCTTGGCAGAGAGGAAGAAAATACAGAGGCTAAAATTAAGGTAAAATCAGTAATCTTAGTCATTATTTGAGTGCCAAAGCCAGTTTTTTTGGTCTGAGGTTTTCTTCTGAGCCCTGAATTTCTGCACTTCAGCCTTGTTAGGGGAGTGGGAACAGGAGGTAAGGCCTGGGGTCCACCCAAAATGAGAAGTTCAGCATGAGACCGCAGCGGAGGGTCGGGGCCCCAGAGCACTACACTATCAGAGTAGGCAGGAAGGCGTTAAAAAAAATGAGGGAAGGGGAGAGAAGGCAAGACTTCAAAGCAGACAACAAGGAAATTTTCCTGTTTCTATGAGGCTGTGTAAACAGAGCAGAATCCCGAAGCTGGGTGTTCCAGTTCATGTCACCCTGTGGTTCAAAAATATCTCAAATAAATTAGTTTGTTGGGCTTCAAGAACAATTAAAAAACCTCTATAGAGGAAAGCAACTTCAAACAAGGCCTTTAAAATGCCTCACGGAAACATATTTTAATAACCTCCCCATATGTCACAATATAGTTTTAAATGGAAAAGCAGGTTATAAAGCAGTATCTACAATATGACCCCAGGGTGTTTTTTTAAAAAGTTACATGCATAAAAAAACACATACAGTATTAAATACTAAAATATTAGGAGTGGGTGGAATTCTAACTTAGCTTTAGTTCTTCTTTTCACTTACCTGTATTTTCAGCGAGAGAGATTATGTAAACACATGACAATATTAGAGATTTTCAGGTTTCTAGATTGGAATATATGGTTGAAAGTCATTTTTATTGTAGATAATGAATATATAATCAGAAGTTAGATATCTCTGTTTATGCTTCAATAATTTAAAAAATGATTTCAAATTGGGAAAATATCCAAATAAAATAGATTCTATGCTTTATATGCATTTCTTAAGGGATACTTAATTTTTCTCAAAGTTCCAAAGTATGTTTTTGCCATTTTATTTTAAAACATCTCCAGATTTCCATGTCCACAGACTGTTTTATTAGCTTTCATGCTATTTCCCTGACCTCCTCAAGGTTATATCTTATTCTACACTATTGGCTACTTCTTGTGGATGCTTCAAAGTGAATCTTTGTAATGCAACTTTGAAATAAAATGAACATGGATTGTGTAAAAAAAAAAAAAATACACATTCAGGTCATTGAGCATCTGTTGAGTCCTATTTGTTCAGGTTCATGCTAACGGCGATGGGGTGAAGTAAAGGGCACTAGCTGAGACTTTTCTGAGTCTCCATTTCCTTGTTTAAAAACAAACCAAAAAAAAAAAAGCAAAAACCTGAAATTATTATGTAACTCATAGAAATTTAATTAAAAAAAAGAAAACCTACCTAACACGTATCATGGCTCTGTCCCCAGAACATTATCATAGTGAACATAAAGCAAAATTACAGTCCTAGGTAACAAATAATTAAGGATATACTTAAGTGGTTACATTTGATGGTAGCACATAGTGGGGGATCCACATGTAAACCTACTTTGTGCACACGTTAGAATTCCAAACAAAAGTATGACCGGAAGACAGCCAGAACAAATCTGCTAGGGACCTCTTTGCAAAGAAAGATCAAGAAGCCCTCTTGGGGAAAAACTTAGTATGAGTAAAGTGAGCTGAATATTTTTATCTTGGTCCAATGAGACTGGCAGTTGGCAGGGATGGCTGATTTTATATACTCTGAGCAGCCTTTTGCTAGGATGATTTTGCTTTGACTGTCCCCTGCCCTCTTCCCTGCCCTCCCTTGCTCCCCTGGGGAGGATCTAACCTACATGTTTGTGATAGGAAAGCCCCAATACGAAAATGATCAAGATAAACAAGCTGTTTTGCTACATCATGTCCTCGGGATGCTGAAGCACAGGGCATCAGTGCTCAGAGATTGAGAAACTGAGGTACAAAGGCCAGGAGCAGAGCTTTGCCCTTCAGCTGGTTGCCTTAGGTCTTTGTGGAATCAGCCCAGCAGGGCCTGCACAGGTGCTGGTGGCACCTTCAGTAGCAGCTAGACCCCCTCTCTAGGCTTCTGTGCTTCAGAGTGACAGCGGCAAACAGCACTGTGGGGGTCATGGGATTCTGTGCTGGGGGATTGCTTTCAAAGAGACCAGGGGCCACATACGAGTATGTAGAAAATTCTGTGTGACTATTTTTGTAACTATATATGTATCTACATATACATGTATGTATATGTTAGTTGGCTATTGTTTTGAAATATTAAATGTTTGCTTCCCACTCTTCACTGCTTCTAGCTCCTAACTCTGCCATTCAAGCAATAGTAATGGTTTTCTTGAGGGTGAATGAAAATAAATCACATCATTTCTGATGCTTACCAAATTTGAAACAAGGGAAAAAAAGGAAATAGCTAATACAATATTCCATTCTTGAGTT